GAAGAAGAAGAAGAAGAAGAAGAAGAAGAAGAAGAAGAAGAAGAAGAGGAGGAGGAGGAGCAGCTGGATCCATTTTCTGTCACAAGAAAACATATTGTCTTCCACCAAGAAATTGTGAAGGAGCAGGACTGCAGCTTCATTCAGCCTGATAGAAACCAGATCAGAAAATGTTAAAAGTCTTTATTTTAAATGGGATCCACTATCCAGGACCAGGTGAATGGCATCTTCCAGAAGTGAACAAAGTGGGTTTGGCCAAACCTTGTAAATGATCTTATGCAAATCCTGAAGGGTTTTTTTTAAGTGGCAGAGAGAGCAAATATTGATTCTATTTTCAAAAAGAGGGAAAAAGGAAGATCCAACAAACACAAAGGATTCAATTGGACATCAGTAACTGAGAAGTTCCTAGGTACATTCATAAAGAGATTTATCTGTAAGCACATTGAAATCAATGAAGTAATTACCAGAAGTCAGCATGGAATTGTAAAGGAGAATCTTACTCTCTCTCTTTTTTAAATCAGAGAGCTTCATGAATGGATTCTGGGTGTGCTCTAAGCTATAATATACCTTAAGTTCAGCAAAGCATTTGATAAAGCATGTCATGGAAATTAATTGTGATTGAATGTCATGGTAATTATTACAAAACTGGCTCAAAAATTGTACTGAAGAAATACTCAACTAAATGTGTAATTTTGATTTTTTTTTCCAAGTGCAGGCACCTTGGGAAAGCAGAACTTCATTTTATTTTATTTTTAAAAAATAGCATAATGAAATTATTGATTTACTCAATGAACAAGGATGCTGAATTTTTCTATAACATCTATGGCATTTATCTTTCAAAACTAAAGAAAGAAATTGTTCAGAAAAAAAGACCCAAAGACATGTACAGTCAATCTTCACTATTCATGAAGTCCATGTTTGTGAGTTTGCTCACTCAGTAACATTTATTTGTGACCCCAAAATTAATACTTGCAGTACTTTCACAACTGTTTGTGGACACATTGGGAACATTTGAGTTGTGTGATGCCTCCAGTTCCGCTAAGGCTGAACGATGCTCTGCCTTCTTGTTTCAGTTCTCATTCCATAAACGAATGTCCTGTATTTTCAAGGAACAATGTTTGAATATTTTGCTAAATCAGTGCCCATGGTGACTTTATAAAAGCATACCTATCACCAATAATGAGAATTGACTGCATATTTATGTTTCTAACAATGAGAAGTTACAAACCTAAGAACGTATGCAGCTTCTTTAAAGAAACATTTTCAACACCAGTTAATCCCACCCTGGAAAGAGTGTGAATTTTTCTGAAACAAGGATGGTCGGAAACAGCTCATCCAATTCTGTGATTCCCATTAAAAGATATTACCCACGGTCCGTACAATCTTCCTTCTCAAGCAACCCCGCTGAGAGGGGAAAGGCTCAGCCATGAGTTTTCTGCAGCAGCCCCCCAACCCATTGTATCCAACACAATTGTTGTCCCTATACAAACACTACAGCCTTAAGCATAAAAAAACACATCAAAAGCTCAGCCTATAGAAATGGATGAGTGCTTTTGACCTATGCTGAGAGTGGAAAATGGGCCAGGGAGAAGCTTTACGGGTGGAAGGCAAGGTCTTTGTCAGTATTGGGCTCACG